TAAAAACTTGATGACGGAGAGATTAAAACGATTTAAGTGAAACTAAATTCTAGAGGGATGAAGCGAGGTATAGATTAGATTTTTCGCTTCGACTCGACTATCGATCGTGGCGTATGAATAGGAAATATTCATTCGTTATTTTAGAATTGCTTAGTTGAATTCTTTGATGCGAATATTTAGTATGAAGTAATACTTATATTAATATTTGATTTCTATCTTTACAACTTACTTACTAGCTGTGTCAGCGACTTCTACGCGGAATAATTATTTTGGGCATCCAAGTTTTTTGTTTTTGCAAACCCTATTTTTTAGATAATTTAAACTGGAATCATTATTTTCTATATATTTTATGGTTATCTAGAATCATCGGAAACCTACACAGATAAATAATTTTCTCGTTTATTCACATTTCCCTTCGTTTCTTCGCCCCTATTTGTCGCAGCGCGATGTCTACGATAAATGCTCTAATCACAAATATTTTTTTCAATTCGAAGTTGGTTCAAACAAACAAAATTTTCAGCTTTATATATTAGTAAATATGTGTCCTTGACAACAAGCAAACAATAAATTTTTACATGCTGAATGTTATGGTCTAGGATAGACCATAACATTCAGCGTTCTGGAAAAAGCATTGGCTCTAGTTAAGATAGACGTATGTTTATGCGTCACTAAAATATATCTATTACACAACTTTTATATTTTGTATACAATGATTTTAAAGATGTGGTTTTAGAATTTAATGTTTTACTACCTACAAGTATTGATTAAGAGATTATTGGTAAACATTAAACAAGGAAGACTAATGGTGGTAAATTAAGCCCCTAAAAGTTCAATGTTTCGTAGATTACATACCCTTAGTTTACCCTTTTAAATTACAAGGATTTTTAATGAGTTACAACTGTTGGCTTTGCAAATAAAAGCATTACATTTCAAGTCCGGTCTTAAGTAATGCTTAATGGATAGAGTGAAATCTTGTGTCGCATTGTCTAGCGTCCAAAACAAACGACCTTCATAGACACCTATTGTTTCAAATTTGTATTCTCCATGCAGGACACAATACGTTCCATGACAATGTGGTGTAGAAACAGGGCATTAACACAAAATGTAGCACCGCTATATTTCCCGGGTCACGAGTATTGTTTTAACCGGTTTGTTTCGTACATAAACCGAGTTGTTCGCACTTTTTTGATGCTAGAGTTATTACCGCAAAGTTATATTTATAAACAGTCATGGTGAATTATTAACGCGAGTCTTTAGTTTACTTTAATAATATTGTATTATTGTTTTCAATAAGACGTAATAGAGTTTTTTAGAACAACAGTTTTTTGGAAAACAGCATACCAGCAAACGCGGAGACACCGTTAGTCAATTCTGCAAGAACGGCCTGTTTCGCCAAATACCAACTTCGAGGGAACAGATGGCGGTAGCGTAGCAGTTTTTTTGCTTTGACGTCAGCGACACACTCCACCTTGTGTCTCCCCGTGTCCCCTTATTTAAAATTATTTTCCAATAAGTTTAACAAGTGTATATCGCGTTTTAAACCGTTAAAGTGTTTTATTTAAATGTTTAGTATTCGCGTGAACTACGACAGTATTTAAATAATATTCGTTCATTAGTTGATTTTATGTTTCTTCTGTAGAAAATTAATTCAAAACCATAATTATACATTTTCCAGCCTCTTGCCTTCTTATTACTAATGAATAAGATCTATGAGAAGTTGTCTGTTAGACAGATAGGATCTACACTCGTAACTAATGCGAATAAACAAGAGTCCCTTGTAATCACGAGATTACAGGCCCGTCTTCACCCAACAGGTGAAACCGATGACAAATTCGGACCGCTTATTACGAACACCTGCAAGATGTTTATAGATAATAGCTGCCATAGTTAAATTCAAATTGCGAGGAAATTATAGACTTGACGTATTTTGTCGAAATAGTTGAATATGAATTACCAATACCTTTAAAATATTTGGAACCATTGGGTAAAGTAACCGTTAAACCCGGTAGAGGACTTACGAGTTCATGTGATCGTCTCATATATTTTACTTGAACGAGTAACGATAAACTTTGGTATCGAAGACTTATGGCGGATTATTATAAAGCTATTATTTTATGTGAAACGTTACGTTTTGTTAAGTTAATAATAATTCTATTTCTTTATTTCCAAGTGTTTTATTTTCAATAAATAACAGTAGTAATTTATTAGCTTAGTTTAGTTAATTCAAATAAAACACTTTAACGGTTTAAAACGCGATATATTAGTTAAACTTATTTGGAAATGATTTTTAACTTCGGCCCGACGTTTCGGATGCTTTGCAGCAGCCGTGGTCACGGGGAAACATTATATACATAGACAGTATTTAGTTTAGTTAATTTAAGTCACGATGAAGTTATACACGTTAATAAAACCCTTTTAATGTATGTGCAAAATATTTTTAAGTAAGGCCCGAAATTTCGGATGCGTATCAAATGCTTCACATCGTGTAAATTTTTAGAGCCATGATTTTGGTCTGATTCCTGACAAACTTCATTAAGTTTGTACCTGCTAGAGGCAACGTACAGTATTTACTTATTCACTTGCGAATCTCGGGCATGCCGTATATGTGGTATAACTAAGTCTCATTGTTTACGAGGGTCTAACTGGCTGTATTCAATTTATTTTGTATTATTAATTATCCGCATTATTTTATATTTATTCTGATATGAGTCTCTTTTTTAACAACTTGAAAATTCTTAGTTCATCGTTTCCTAGTTCTGAGTTTGAAATTCAAGAAATATCATAGTTTCAGGCTGGCCACAGTTTTTACAGTTAAAGTATTTTTTATTGGCAAGTAGTTATATAATCTTTATTATTTATTACACCTACCCACTGAATAAGCCTTTTCTTATTTCTTTTTCTGATATTTCCAGGTCGTCTGGAAAAGATCGCAGCTTAGCGATAAGGTCGCCTTTTATTTATAAGTTAGTACGCTGTAATAATTAAAACTAATACCTGCATACGGGTTTTTTTTGTGAAACGGAGTTTATCCCCCCCTTGGAGAAAAGTGATTTCAGTGTATTGTTATTGATTTTATGTACATTTTTAGGTTTATTTATTGTATTATTATTACTTAAATAAAATTATTTTTTTTATACTATGGAGCGTTTAGTTTTAATTGATTTATTAGCTGAATTAACCCTGGGCCAAATAATTCTGATAATTTTCTAGTTCTGATCAGTGCATCAATAGAAAGTCTGTATTTTTAATTTTAGTCAGTATATTCAGTTTTTCTTTATTATACGTTTATATAACAATAATCTACTGTATCGATGTATTGTGTTAAAGCGAAAGGTCCTGGGTTTGAATCCCAGGGTGGGATAGATTGTCTCGCTTTTCTGAGCAACTACCTTCCTGTAAAAGAACTGGTCAGTGAAGCGGACACAGAAATGTGTTCGCCGGATGCTCCACGGGAGGAAACGGTCATTACTGTTATACATTTAAACCTAATAAGTTTACACACAGCTTAAACTATTAACGAAAAGTAATTGGTCGTGTTTCATTTTGCAGGTAACTTTCCAGGAAATTTAATGCCATATTTGACATCGCTGGCTCTAAGAGCATTTGACGTATTGGTTAGTCTGTGGTAAACTTAAAATAGCAACTATTCATGCCATAGTTCGTTCGATCAATATTCAACGCGACGAAGTCCCTACTTAGCCTGGCTCCCTAGCCAGGACACTTTGTACCAGTTTAGTGATGCTTATTTTTAGATGATACTGATATAAAATAAATAAGGTAAATTAAAAATAAAATAATTAAGTGTAAAGTAAGTTAAATAGTCTAAAATTGCACACGCTGCTCTTCTATAACTTTATACCTTTATCCACTATTATATTTATTTGAGTATTATTGATTTGGCGTAAATCAAAAAACTTAAGTTACTTCTTTCCGATTTTCAAAGCAAAAACGTAAAATATTAAGGAATTAATAAAAAAATTGTAAATTATTAGATTCAATACAGTCAACCAGTTGGGTGGGATTCTAACTCACGACACACTAGGTATACTACAGTTCTCCGCTGCTCCTCTTATAGATTTTTTTTTGAAGATATTGTATTAGCTTGATAGGTTTGTTGCCTACGTGGGATGACTATGGTCTATTTTATGCCTTTTATTAACTCGTCTGTCCGATAAAGGTTAAATTTTAGGTTTATATCTATATTGTTGGTCTTATTTACTTTTCACTACCTTTAGCAGGGTCGAGATCTAATAGTAAACCAGTAGTACTTATAATATACATATATATCCCCGTAAAGCTATTTATATTTCCCTCTTTTAATCCATATCTTGGATCTAACTGTGTTTGAAATAGATTTTTTTAAGTACGTTTAAGTAAGGCACACTTCATTATAAGACGATTATACTCCTATTAATTTTTCCTTCCAACGATGTTGACAATATGCCTTCCATTAACCATAATAAATCGATAATGATTCCATTAAAGCCCAAAGACAATGTAAATCACAGAACAGACCAATATGGCTATAAAGATAACAAGGGCGGTGAAAGGTGAAAGGCATTAATCTTGGCCCGTTCTACCGTTTGTTCTGACAGCGTTCATTAAGGCACAAAAGCTTAGTCTATCAGTTAGTTTCCGTGGTGCGATGGCTTAACAAATTGGTGGCGTAATGTCTGCGTTCGGTTAATACTGAGCTGCCATTGTTTTGTATTGCTGGTTCAAGCTAGCTGCTTTCACCATACATATATATCGCAGTAACGAGTTAATAGAGCACTGGCTCTCTCTTACAATCGCTTATGGAAGACGGGGACGCAAAATTCTGCTTACGACCTATTTTGGATTTGGATAATCGGATTGGAATGATGGTGGAAGAATCTATAACTATCCTAGATTTGTCGACAGTAATAAATTTATATCACATTTTTTATTTAATTAAAGAACAAAACAATCTATAATAAATTGTTCTTAAAAACCAAAAGAGGTATATGAATAAAATTGGTTCAGTCAAATTTAAGCCCACTGAAAATTGGTATTTCATTGATCCTGATTTCGAAGTAGAACGGTTTGTCAGCAATGAAGGTCTTTGGTGGCACCGGATTGATTATGAGACTAGTTGCTACTGCTTCAAAAACTGAAAAGAAATACATATTACATTATTTACACAAAACTACTGTAAAATATATAAAAGTGAGTCCTAACAAAAGATGTCATTGTTTTATATATTCACTACGCTTTTCATTGCGTTTTAAAATATTTTAAGCGCTTCGTCTGGGTAATCTTGGAGGGCAGCAGAAATAAAAAATAAAAAAACAAATAGTGATACAGTATACTGAACTCAATAAGGAAACCATATTCTAATAAAAATATTGAATTAGAAATATTAAAAATATATGTTGGCAAAGCTATTTACTATCTGTCAATAATTACTACGTAGAGAAATATCAACCCCGCAAGATTATTTCTTATGACTTTCGTGCATATTTTCTAGAAGCAATGAGTGAAAATAATGGCATAAATGTTATAGTTTTGATGAATAATTTAAAGCATATGATTATATTATATATATTATTATTTAATCACAAAGTCTAGATTATATTTTAGAAAATTAAAAACCTCTGAGAACGTCATGCAGTAAATTTTCCACTAAATATTAAGATATCTTGTTCAGCTATGAAAAACAGATATTGATGGTTCGCAGTGAAATCTTCAGAATTAAAGCCCCGACGATCGCTCAATTGTACAACTGCAAATTTTAATAAATGTTAAGCATAAACTTCATAAATAAAAAAATAGAAAATTAATTTTATTGAAACGGCCTTAGCGAATGATTGAATTAATAAAAAAAAAACATTAAATTTGTTTTAATAAAACGAATAAAAGCATGTACAGAACCAGCATTAAATATACTTTAGTATGTCAATAATTTCAATAACTTCTACAGTATGATAAACTATAAATTCTTGTGTTCAATAATGTTAGATTAAATACTTTAGCGATATTGTCGACAAACTTAAGTATCTATGTTCATGAAGTATTCAGTTATTCCCATATAAATACCTAAGCATAGAAGACGCCATTAAAGAGAGTTGCCTGTCCCAGTTTTAAGTAAAATAGGAAGGGGTGATCAGCAATAAAACGCAATGGATGTAGAGATACGATCGCTGAGAGGTAGTTGATTTGGAAAACTGCGAATACAAAACAATATTCTTTTTTAACTTATCGAAAAAAAATTGATAACAAAACTGTAGAATTAACTAGAACGACAAAATTATATTTAAAGATGTTGGTGTAAGGGCTTCAAAATGCTTATAATAAGTGATGCTCCCAGTAACGAGTACCGAGTTTTTCTCGGCTCAATTTTTTTTCAACCGAGTACTCGGCCGAGTAACCCGGTTCACTCAAATTCCCATTTCGCGCGCATAAACAAGTACAAACAGGTTTGCGCCGGTCAAGACGTCGGCTCGCTCTTATCTTCTCGTTATTTCGTCTCATTAGTAATCATTAGATTATTAATTGAAATATAATTATAATATTAATTGAAATTTTGAAAGATTTTCTAAATTACTAATAAATACTTCTGAATTACCACTGTTGTTTTAATTATATCTACTTAAAAATATTGCTTTTCTTTAACAAAGTATACTTGTTATCAAATAAAGTATAACTGAGTTATTCGGCCAAGTACGAGTATCAAAAACCTGAGGAGGACGCAGAGTACCCAGTATCAATCGAGTACTCGGCCCACCTCTACTTGTAATAATAGATTTTACACACAAAAAAAGCAGTTGCAGCATGCGATGCTTGCATACAAGGGCGTGCGATAAAAGTGATAAAATCAATACCTAGGAGTAAAACACCCCGTTAAATAAAATATCGCTTTTATATCTTATGTAAAACAAGAAGGGCGAAGTAGCGCGAAATCTTTTCGATTCCCTGTACGAAAGAAGCACAACTCCAAACTCTGAAACGAAAGATTGTATTCGTCTTTAATTGATTACGATTAAGCTTAAATAAAGCATAAGACATTGAAGTGTTAAAGTTGACAATTAATGCTTGAGAGGTGCATGTGTGAATGGGTTTAAGAAATTTGATGATGACAACTGGTATGACGGAACTCTGATGGTTCAAGTCCCGCCAGTGTCGTAATTTTTTTTCTATCTAATTTTCAAACTACGCACTGCCGTCCCGAATAGAGATATGAACTTCACAAATATATCTCGCGTGAACGGTTAATATGAAATTATTTAGGTGTATTTTATATCTTTTGATGACGGACTTGTATGAATGTGAAACGAAAACACAATGAAAATTTAGAGGCATTACTTTATTTAAAGAATGTAGTTTCACATAGTACTTTTACTCTGAGATCTTAATTATTATTCCATTATTCAAATTTAACTCCGTTAAAAATGGGAATCGCCCCAGCCCTGATTTCAAAGTAAAACGGTCTGTCTGCGACGAACGTCTTTGGAGGCACTTCATCGATAATGAGACTGGTAGCAACGGGTAGGAATACTGAAAAAAAAAATACAAAGCTATGCTAAGCTATATCAATGATACACATTTAAAATACCAGTAGAAATAATTAGAAATACAAAAATGATCAAACAAACTAGTCTTTAAAGTTTAGTGTTTATATTACTGAAATAATAAAGGTTCTCGTTTTAAACCGTTAAAGTGTTTTATTTAAATGTGTACTACTCGCGTAAACTATAGACAGTATTTAATAAAGGTTCTTCCAACACTGCACTTCTTACATGCGCAATAACTAAACTTTAAGCGTGTAATGGTGAACAATTTGTTACGAAGCAAACTTAGACATTGTAATCAGAAACGATATTTTCTTTAAACATGCACCCAGTTATTAAATGACCACTAAACATATTTTCTTTTTATTACATAGAACAAGAATGGAACCTTTGCATTAAATTCTGCCACCAATGAATCCGTTACGAACTTACGAAGAAAAATTACGACTCGGGCAGGACTTGAGCCGGTGTTCTCAGCGTTCCGTGCTATTGCTCTAACCGATTGAGCTATCGAGTCATTTGCTTAGCCTTTCTTCCTTAGCCGTACTTTGCCACAATTGGTTAGAGCAACAGCACGGAAAGTTGAAGTTGCGGGTTCAAGGCCAGCCCGAGTCGTATTTTTTTCAATTTACAATCAATTTGTAATTTATATAGTGCCATCATGCGCAATAACATGTAAAGTAATAAAGTTTTATAAAACAAGATGTTACGCCTTTCATTGCTACATAAACAAGTTGAGCATTTATACAGAAATTAAAAGCAAAATAGATGCATATTTTTATTAATTAGTTTAAATTTGATACAATTATTTTTTAATGTTGTAGGTCATTACATAACAAAAACACATCCTAAGTTCAGAATCTAAATAAATTATATCAATATAACAACAGACGTACTTTTCTTCTCTTTTTTCAAGTCAATTTAAAACTTCTATTAAATATTTTATTTAAATTTAACACCACTGAATAACGGTACATCCTTAAATCTTATTTCGAAGTAAAATGGTTTATCTGCGTAGAATATCATCGGGCTCTCTGGGATAAAGCTGGCGGCATAGCCTACACTGAAAACTGAAAGAGAAATAAATAGCTGAAAATATTATATACATATAAATATTTTTTTCTATCTTTAGGGTTCCTCGCCGAAAACGTAAAAACCGGACCCTATAGATATGATTTCGCTGTCTGTGTGTCACCGGGCTGATTTTAAATAACAATTGCCATAACAAGAGAGTGACATTCTTAGTAATTATGTGCATGTTTCTGTTGCTACAAAAATAAATACTAAGTACAAAATAATGTTTCTCGGTGACGTACCAAATGCTTTAAGCCTTTTGATTGATATCAAGAATGATAAAAGTAGGTATTGAATTTTTCACAAAATACTTAGTTGTATTTTTGCTAACAGTTCAACAAAGCGTCCAGTAATTCATGTATGGGACGCATAGTGGGCGTGTCCATTCGCAAGTGACCGGTGTTCTAATACTAAATAAATTATATATGGATACGTTATAAATTTTACAACGATTATGAATACACATATTAGTCACAATATTATTATAATAAAGTCAGAAAACTATGAGAGAAAAAGAAATGTGCTAATGTATGAATATGACTTTAAAAACTGAAATCGGGGTATTATAAGAGAGCAATGTAACTAAATTGATAAACTTAACAAAATAAACTTAATTTTTAAAATGAGTTAAATTGCAGATACATAAGTACGAGTATTCTTTGAGTATTTAACGATAGGCAGTAGTAGAATGCAATCTACTAAGACATTGATAAAATTTTGTTATTTCAGTTTATATATATTCCACTAAACAATGGTAAATCTTGATTCCTAATTTCGAAGTAAAATGGTCTGTCAGCGTCGAAAATCTTCGAAGGTGGTTCTATCAGAAGGGCATATTCAACCACAATTTCAAAAACTGCAACAAAAATATGTCCGTGTAGTTGTGTAAATTGTGAACTAATAGGAACTGTATCAGAATTGTGATTATTGAAGTTCCAAAAGTGAAGCTAAAGAAAAGAAAATTTAATACAAGGCAATGTATTAAATTTAAAATTGTCACCTAATTCTTTCTTTGTTGTATGAAAATGTTTTCCAGATGTCTGAAACCTTTATATATTTTTTTCAGCTCACCTAGTGTTAGTTACTAACATTAAATACATAAGAACTACTCACCCACTATTTTATATATAATAATTAAAAATACAATCGCGTAATCAATATAAACATACACCAAATGTATAACTTGTAATATATATTAAACACAATATATTTTAACGTGGTCTATATACATTCTCGCGGTAAGTGTTTGGCAAAGTATCAATTTTAATCTTTTTGTGCTTTAAAAGTATCCACAAATTGCCACATTACTTTGTAATATTATCCACACTGCGCTTAATTTAATTAAATATTGCCAAATAGCTTATATTTTGCGTAGGCATTTTCATACATCTAGTCTATGTTTGGACTTACCGTTGGCCGCTGCAGCTTCAGCGCCTTCTTCGTTTACTTCAATAAAGGCTTTTTGTATGGCTTCACTGACTACTAGATCTCCCTCATTCTTCAAAAGATGTTCCAAGCGAGCCTGGCCAGGTGTGAACAGTCGCTTCACGTTCATCTATAAAAATACATTCCTCAATAGTAAGCTGAACATTTCCTCAAACATTTTAGGAATAGGCACTTTTTGAAATACTATGGTATACTTTTGTTTTAAATAAAAAATTATGTGATTACTCAAGAAACATTTTTTCCCTAGATCACATTTTTAAGTCTGATAGTTTGTAAGTTTTAGTTTCCTGCTACAAATTATATCGACGCGTATTACTTACATTTTCCAAAACTTTTTTAAGGTTTGTCGTCGTTTCGATCTTGAATTTGGGAATGGTGACCTCTACTTCAGTGTTGTATAGTTTTGATAGACCCCTGTCCAACGCTTTAGAATCCTTCAATTTTTCTTCTAATTGTGTGATGCCATCTATTTCATTCGGTAGCACGAAAATCATTGATGCTTCGTCACCGTTGTAGAACATTTGCAAAATCTGTCAAGTAACGTCTTTTATTTATGCAAGATCTATATATATATACATATTTGAAGTATTGTTCGTTCCCGTTTGTTATTATTATTTTTAACATGGCTATGGGATAACAGAATGGATTTATCTAATGTTATGTATTTTTCTGAGTATCATTATTTTTACCTTGGCATCTAATTCTGGCACTTCAGCGTAGTTGAAATCTGATTTTTGGTACATCATGGGAACTTGAACAGTCTTTTCCTTAGTCACGTGGAAGTCGCGCTCGTAGGTAGCGTAAGTGCTGAATGGACTCTTCCACATTCCCTGTAGACAAAAGTATATTAGTAAATTTAAATAATTTGAATTGGTTACGCTTAATATTGCCAAGGTTTTTCTTGTTTTATTTTTCATTTCTTGTGCTTCAATTAAGATGAAACGAAAAAGAGTAAATCTGTCTATATAAACAAAAAATAAGTATGAAATTATATTTATGTAGGATTATGAGCACAAGGTTCAATTATAACCTTTTAGAGTTTCTGTAAACCTTATTAACCAAGATTTGATCATTTAACTTCAAAATGAATTGTTAGAATTCCTAGTTATACCCGACAGTCTAATTAGTCTGGATCATTTTAAATAGCATTTCCGAGTTGTAAGTTGTAGTGACAACAACATTTATTAGCCTAGGCATTTGGGTATGAAAAAATGAGCAATTAATCTCTCTCTCATTAATTGGAGGAATACAGAAGGCACCAAGCTATAATTATCATGTACAATACCTTAAAGTATATCGCATTGACGAGCAAAGCGCGGGTATCACCATCCAACGAATTCGGGTCGACGAGATCTTTAATTCTTTTGTTTGTTTGATCTTCAACCTATAATTAAATTTAATATCAACGTCGCACACAATTGTTCCTGCAATACTAAATTAATTATGCAATATTTTACCCAAGAGTTAATCTCGTTTGCGGTTTTCTGAGCTTGAGTGAAGTCGACGTTTTTGACTTCGGAATTAAAAACGTCACGGGTCGTCGCTGCAAACTCCTCGTTCAGTTCGTAATTTTTAGCGATGTAGATTTTGCTTGCGGTCTTAAGCTCGACTCCTTGTACTGATTTAAGTCTGCTCTCGGATTGAGTAAACACAGCTTTTGTCTGATAAAAGGAAAGGGTTATTTAGTTGAAAATAATTTATATATTTAAAGTAACATATGTATACATTAATGACAACTTTTAATTCAAATTGCAGAAATTCTTTTTTTCGAGCCCGTTGTTTGTTTTTCCCTCTCTTATAAGTGTTTTTTTAGGGGGGGGGAGTGGGGTTTTTGGGCGGGCTTCCCCAAAAATTTTTGGTTTGCCGGGGTGGGCCTCCTAGCTTTGTTTTAAGCCCTAACACGTGCTAGGCACACAAAGTTATTATTGTTACGGAGGCAGTAAGACTTATATTTCTTAAGAAACGAAAAAAGTTATGTTCAGCTCAGGTTGTTGTGCAGCCCACAATATATTAACAGTTTAAATGAAAAACAATGCGGGTCCATTAGTAAGTATAAAGACTTGTATAACGATTTTAAATTCGAGGTCCATCCAAAGAAATAAGAAAGATTTCATGTACACACTTTTTAAAACTGCGATTTACAACAAAAAAGTAGACATTAGTCAACACGATAACATGAAAAAATGGTTATCCTTGAGAATTTATCCATAAAGGTGACACTTCCAATAGTATTAAATGTAAGTAAATTAGTCTGAACAATAAACTCATCTAAATTTTTGTGTATCGCTGGATGAATTGTATAAATAAAATCGATTTTAGATAAAAAAAAAACAAGACACGATAGCTCAATTGGTTAGAGTATTGCTCGGTATGCTGTCAGTCTCTAGTTTCTTCTTCTTCTAGTTAGTTAAGATTTTTAAGAAGTATTACCACTTACGTCTTGGGCAAAAACCGTGTTCAATCTCATTAATAAAAAAACGCTTAAAAAATACCAAAAACATCTCCTATCTAGAACTTACGACGTTATCATTTGGCATTCCAATAGTTTCTAGAAGCTCGTCGTGTGATTCACCTGCTGACGCCATGGCCAGTTGAGCCAGAGGTGTCAGTACCGAAAATGCTGAGAGTACAAAGCTCTTTTCTGGGTTCTCCTTGACCACTTCCTAAAAAGGAACAGTAAGGTACAGTAGGTCATACATTAAGAGTATTTCTCTTAATGTATGACCTACTAAACGAGTTGCTTCAATGTCATGAACTGAAATGATTATATTTTAATACTTGAAACGACAGGGATATACAGTTGAAAATTTCAAACAGATAAGACTTTTGTGGGCAAATATAGTATACGTCATGAGGTAGATTGTAAAATTCGCATATGCACTTATGTATAGTATGATAACAGATGGCGTTTACTTTTTAAAATAAGGTTATTAGTAGTAAATATAATAGAATATTATTATTCAAAAAAAACTTTAACAATTTAAACGCGAAATATATTGGTCAACATATTTTAAATATTGTCCAACGTGTCCATGGCTGCTGCAAAGCATTAGAAACGTCGGGCCGCAGTTAAAATAAATATACTTTTTTTCGCGTTTTAAAACGTTAACAGTAATTTATTCAAATACATTGTTACAACAGGGTCCGATATTTGTCATGTTTCTATACTATCTATGATTTTTTTCTACAAAAAATTCATTAAGGCTGTATAGAAAAGTCGGTTAATGCAACACTACATATCAAAGCCTTCGCCTCAACAGCGAAGTTGAAAACAAATAAACAGGAAAACTTTTCAAGGCTTGACATATATTGTTTAGAGTTAATTGAATATATGTACATGTACTTACAGTGAACATTCTCGCTGTAAATTGGTCGTTTCCATTTTTTAATGCTCTGGATAACTCCTTATCTTCAGCCATTGTCAATGCGGCCAGCGCCACAACTGAAAGAAATAATTTTCTAACTATATTATAGTGCTCAAAGCCAAAATAATCTATTTACAAGCTATTTGCACACGTGTGTTTGAGTTAATGAGTTCTTTTAAAATTAGTATTCACTTTCTCATTAAACGCTAACTTAACAGGTCACATGACTCATCGATGTTATCTAAAGGCAAATAATCAATAGTGTTAGTAACGTTGTCTATACTTCGCAAATATGCATTAAATAAAACAGAATAGTCGGTTTGAATCTAAATAATGTTACATGGCTAAAACTCATACTTACTAATTTATAATGTAATAGTCTTAGATAACATACATAGGTAAATTTAATGAATGTACTTTTAATGTTTTTTAACCAACTAGCTGTCCCCAAAAATCTTTATTTTGGGCATCCAAATTCGTTTTAGCAATCACCTTCATTATCTTTATAAACTTAAGTTACCCATGACGTAAATCGCGTCCCTTCCCGTCGTTCTTGCAAGTTAATCTTAAAAGATAGACATATAGCGTCGCGAACGTTTTTTAAAATCATTTAAAGAGGAATCATTGTATCGTACATATTTTTTGTGTAACTTGAACCGTTTTTGAAGCGTATGCCTCGGAAACCCATAATAATGAATAATTTTCCCAATTTTTTTCATTCGCTGTATCTTCGCTTGTATTAGTCACAGGGCGGTGTTATAGCATATAGCCTTACTCGATAAATGTTCTAACATAAAAAATTTCAATTCGAACCTGTAGTTCCTGAGATTAGCGCGTTCAAACAAACAAACTCTTCAGCTTTATATATTAGTATAGATATACTTATTATAGAGGAGGGTAGATAGCAGGATGGTATGAATACCTCAGTCATATAACATCTAAACTATTCATATTTTGTCTTTGGATATTTGAAAATTCACAGACTAAACCGAAACTAGATACTTGACGGTGTTTTTATCTGTGGGCGTTCGTTCGCCGGATCTCGATATACCTAACCGATTAATAAACCTTCTTTATGAAGTTGGTTTTAAACTGGCCGTGGTCACGGGGAGACTGACTGACTGAGAGTCTGAGACTGACCACAGCTGCTGCAAAGCATCCGAAACGTCGGGCCGAAGTTAAAAATAATTTTGAAATAAGTTTAACCAATATATCGCGTTTTAATAAGGTTTAAAAATGCTTGGTTTTATATTTCGAAACACAAAGGCTTTTAAATCAACTTTATGCTTAAAATTATTGTTCAATTGTTTAGTAAGATCTGTCCTCGAATATAATTCAGTAGTTTGGCATCCGTTTTACAAGAAATATATAACCAGAGTAGAGTCTGTTCAAAAGAAGTTCGTCTCGAGGCTCAGTTACATTGAAAACATCTACCACATAAAGAACTATGAAGATAGATTGAAAGAGCTGAGAATCCAATCATTAGAAGTGCGTAGAAATGCTGCACTGTTAACATGCCTCCACAAATTGTTAAATAACCACCTTGATTGCCCATCTCTTCTACAACATATCGGAATCTGCGTCCCATCCTTTAATTGTAGAATTATTACCTTTAGTCCTCTGCACATAAAACATTGTAAAAATAACTATGGTTTAAATTCACCCATTCAGGCAATGTGTAAATTGTACAACTGTGTTTTTAAATTAGATCAATTAGATTTATTCGTCAACTCAAATATGTTCAAGAAAAAAGTTTTAGAAATTTTACCATCCATAAATTTTAATTAGTTGTTTTATTCTTATTTAATGTCTACCTAATCTGTAGTTTTAATTGTTATGTAAAAAAACTCTCTTTTTTTAATTTTGTTTAATATATTTAGTTAAAGTTGTGCACACCTTTAAGTTAGATACATAAGTAGTATTAACTATTCTTAGAAATAGATTTTGTAAGTTTAATTATGTATGTAGTTGGTGAGCCTTGTATAAATAAATAAATAAATAAATAAACCGTTACAGTGTTTTATTTAAATGTGTACTACTCGCGTAAACTATAGACAGTATTTACGTTATTGGTATTTATTAAATGTTACTAAAGGTGCATCTATCGATGTAGATAAAAAAATAACGAACACAGCACAATGTTCAATTACCAAAGACATCATCGAGAATAGCGTCCGATTATTTTTATTACCTTTTGTTATCAAACATGATGATAACGTTTCCTCTTTTTATTAAATCAATCATGACAACTTTTTCCTGTTACTCATAGATAGTAGATTTGTTATCCTCTCCTTGAGGATGAGTGCTAATTATGAGCACGGGAGGGTAGATAGATTTTTTTCTACTAAAAATCACTGTTTAACTGTAGACAGATATTTCCCTAAAAAGTACCCTTGTAAAGAACATTATATTATACAAGTCATTATGATAAAAAACGGTTTAAAACATGGAAAAGGTTGGTTGATTTCAATTATTATTTTAATTACTGCCGCGGTTCAAATGAGAACATATAACGGGGCTCAGATAAATCTTTATCGAAAGTCAATAATCAACATAATGAGTTAACCGATGGGTACTTCCCAATTTTTTATAGATCACTATCTGAGTCACGCGACTTCGTACGCGTAGTATAATGATTTTGGATATCACTTTTTGCTTTTGAAAACCCCCTGTACGAACACAGATTTTTTTTTAAAAATGTAAACCTGTTCCTGAGATTAGCGCGTTCAAACAAAAAAAAAAACAAACTAGCTACGATCGTGGGATTTAGCATTAATCAAGGCTAATAATAGTTTTTTGCTTCAATGGCTAATAAAATACAACCCAATTAGTCAAAACCGGTCGATAAAATCCTGTCTGCAATTTTTTTTTTCTTTATGTAATGTTATTTGATTGGTCGCGTATGTGTTCACGTTGCCTTTGATTTTTCCGTATCGTCACGACTATATATGTCTTACTTCACTTAGTAACAGTCTAGGTCTTTATTTTACAGTCAATACATCAATGTAAACAAAGACTGACTTGACTGTTCTAACGATAATTATTGGTTTATTATGAATGATGAACGGCGTGAAAAAACAATGGGTTTTTACAGACTCTGTTGATAACGAACGTCTTCCTTGTGTTATATATTTTTCTATTTCATAGAAGCATACTATTCTAAATTAAAAATACTGATATTGTGAATCCCGTTTTCCCCTTAAGACATTTCTGTGTCCGTCTCACCGATCGGTTCTTTTACAGGCAAGTAGTTGATCACACTTCTGTGTCCGAACGATACGCTTTTTATTGTATCCCCAGGATTCGAACCCTGGACCTCTCACGTTTAACCTTTTAGGTACAGAGGTGGGCACCGATATTATAACATAACATATTATTATGGTGCACTTTTTTAAACTCAAAAGCATATTTAAATAAAACACTTTAACGGTTTAAAACGCGATATATTAGTTAAAATCATTTTCAAATAAGTTTAACTAATATATCGCGTTTTAAACCGTTAAAGTGTTTTATTTAAATGTACTCGTAAATAGGGGGGGGGGGGGGGGGGGGGGGGGGGGGGGGGGGGGGGGGGGGGGGGGGGGGGGGGGGGGGGGGGGGGGAAAAAAAATTGGGGGGGGGGCGGGGGCCCCCCCCCCCCCCCCCCCCCCCGGGGGGGGGGGGGGGGGGGGGGGGGGGGGGGGGGGGAAAAAAAAAAAAAAAAAAAAAAAAAAAAAAAAAAGGGGGGGGGGGGGGGGGGGGGGGGGGGGGGGGGGGGGGGGGGGGGGGGAGGGGGGAAGAGGGGGGGGGGGGGAGGGGAAAAAAGGGGGGGGGGGGGGGGGGGGGGGGGGGGGGGGGGGGGGGGGGGGGGGGGGGGGGGGGGCCCGGCCCCGGGGGGGGGGGGAAAAGGGGGGGGAAAAAAAAAAAGGGGGAAGGAAACCCCCCCCACATTTTGTTTTTGGAAGGGGGAAAGGGGGGAAAAAAAAAAAAACCCCGGGGGGGGGGGAAAAGGAAAAAAAAATAAAAAAAAAAAAAAAAAAAAAAATATTTAACCCCGGGGCGCGGGGGGGGGGGGTTTGGGGGGGCCGGGGGCGGGGGGGGCCCCCCCGGGACCACGGTAAAAGTGTTTTATTTAAATGTGTACTACTCGCGTAAACTATAGACAGTATTTAAATAGAGAATTATTATTTCCGTGTGAGGATTAATCTTGCATAGTCCAGTAAAAAACGATTGGAAAAAATCGTTTTGACGGCGCGTCGGTAAAAACCTTAATCTCACGATTACACCGGCCGGTTATACAGAGGTCAAGGTTATACTTTAGTGTTTATACTAACCGATAACAAAGAAAAAACATCATTTGAGTTCTAGGTGATTCTTTTCAATGATAAACTTTTTGATTTTTGACGGGTTCATCGGTGTAATGGTAGCAAAGTACGGATAATAAATGGGTCGTGGGCTCGACACCCACCGGGTTCGTTTTTTTTACCAATTTAATATTTTTTATGACACATATTGGACTTCGTCTGGAAATCTGGATATTAAATGGGTTTAAATAAAACACTTTAACGGTTTAAAACGCGATATATTAGTTAAACTTATTCGAAAATGATTTTTAACTTCGGCCCGACGTTTCGTCCCGTGACCACGGCTGCTGCAAAGCATCCGAAACGTCGGGCCGCAGTTAAAAATCATTTTCGAATAAGTTTAACTAATATATCGCGTTTTAAACCGTTAAAGCGTTTTATTTAAATGTGTACTACTCGCGTAGACTATAGACAGTATTTATTAAATGGGTGGTAAAATTTACCGTGGTGGTGAACTACCCTCCTTAGATGAAACAGCCGTGAAGTTTAATCACGTTTCGGTTTCAGTCTGTAGATTTCCGAATATCCAAAGCGAAAATAGGTCGATAGCGCATCTTGTTTATTTGCTATAGGCTAGGGTATTTCACTTACCATCAAGTAAACCAAATGCTTGTCTGTTCTCCTCTATCATAAAAAAAACGACTGTAATCATTTGAATATTTTTTGGTTATTTGGCAAGTACCCTCATTGCTCACTTATTACAGCAAAAACAATAGAATACACTCATCAGAAGCAACTACCTACCCTACCTACACTAGTTTAGTTAGAAAATTTTATATCAAACAGTTTTGATATTCTACCATGAACATAAATGTGAATTGTCTTTTAGGAGATAATTAAATTCGTCCACGCTATTTCGACCACAAATTATTGCATCGAAGTGATTTATTAATACAATAAAATAATTTAGCCAAATATTATATTAATGCGGTTTGTTTATACATTATAGCGATGGTAATCTATTTTATATTATAAAACATTTATATTCCATGTTGTGAGTTGTGACGTGTTTACCAAAAAAGGTAAACAATGTAAACATTGTTGATTTTCACTTGTTTTTTATGTCACATCTTATTTTGATCAGTATTCATCTATTTTAGTAATATTAATAACTGTGGTTAATAGCGTACTCGATAATCTATAGAATTTATTAATTAGTTGTAATTACTATTTTTTATCAAATTACCACCGCTAAAAGACGAAATATTAGAAATAGAATGTTTGGGTATTGATGTAGATAAGTTAAGATAAAAATATCGACTCACAAAATAATATAGCGAGCTTCATAGTGCCGGTCGTCTCTTCGATTGCAGATCACACACTAACCAGTATCTCATAGGTGGAAGCGTTTAAGTAATTCACTCTGGGTTTATTGTAGTTGCCACGGTAAATAAAGACGGCGCGAGAGGCCGGGTCATCGGGAATTCAAAGATAACGACTTGTCGGAAATCTGTATTGTTTTTTCACTGATTACACATACAAAAACACGGTAAATTTTGACCGTAACTAACGCGTTTTGCGAGGAATTATTTCTCGTATAACTATTGCACGCGCTCATAATAACAATGAAATTAGATATTTCAAGGGAAGAACCGGATTCGTGGTATTGAAATTAATATACATATGTATGTTTTATTTGTTTTATTCACATTTACCTCCGTTTCTTCGCTTATATTAGTCGCAGACTGTTGCTTTATAGCTTAACGCCTTGATGCTCCGACCAACACAAAACGAATTTTTCAATTCGAAACGAGTACTTCCCAAGATTAGTGCACTCAAACAAACAAATAAACTTTTAAATACTAGTTTGGCCGATCTTGCATCTACATTTTTTAAGGGACAGATCACATTTTTTCCATTATGTTACGGTTAAATCCGTTCATCTTCATCCTATTTTTTTCACGCAGGCGTTTATAAGCTCGCATTAGTTATAACATATATCTAAAGCGTTAGTTATATACGTTCACACGAACATTTATTTCATCGCTATCAACAGTTCTTAGAAAAAGATTCTAAGTAGGTAAGTTACTATACAAACATCGAACCACCTGTTAATTATCATTTTGGGCTAATACAACAAGCAATTTCGTGGGGTACTACGCATGTGTAACGGAAACGAATAATTAATTATATAGATAGAGACTACGATACCACTACTTAGAATCGAAAATACCATAAAAAACAGCTGCTTTGTGTTCGTTTATTGTATAGTGTCTACGCGTGTTGCCTAACAACGCGTCAGCAGCGAGGGGTTCCAAGTTCGAATTCCGGAAAAAAACCAAATAATATTTAAGCTTCCGAAAAAAGAAAATTTATCATGTTAAAAGAGTTTCATGGCACCTTTTCCAGCTCCATGGGATCAGGTTTCACTTTTTCATACTTCTACACGTTAATAGATGTAATTTTTTTTCTTATTTTGTATGCCAGAGGAGATACAACGGTTCTCTTTTGATGGAAGATTAAATGCCACAGTCCTTTAACATTTAATCAAGTTACACTGTCGACCTATTTTGGTATGGGAAATGTACTGAAATTTAGTTACTTTGTTTTGATTCTTATTGCTATTTTAGAAAAGCCAGTATATTTTGAAAATCGTGCTTTTTCTTTTTTTTAATGAATGTTATTATAAAACTTGTAATTTTGTGGTATTTCTATGGTATTACATAACTAATTAAACATTACTTATTCGCGTTTTAATCATGCAATTTGTCAATGACAGTTTGATGACAAGTGCAACGAGATTAATCGAATCTAAAACAAATTCAATTAATATATAAATAGCGTAACAATTTTCGCATTGAACACCTATGTCCTGATGCGACCAAATATTTCTAAAATAATTATTACAATTGTTAATTTAAGCCACTCTTGATCACGAAATCCGGGAGTCGATTCCTGGGTTTTCAACAAAAATACTGTGTAAATTTAAAATCGATTTAAGATTGAAAAAAATGTAAAACACGAGTAGGAATTGAACACACGTCCACATCGTGTCGTGATGTTGCTCAAACCAATTGACCGTGCCCCGTGTCATGATTAGAGCAAAGCGACGGAACGCTGTGGAAAGCCGGTTCGAGTCCTGCCTGTGTCGTAATTTTTTTTCAATCTAAAATCGATTTTTAATTCGTTTAGTGCCACTATGTGCAATAACATTTGAACGATACAAAAATACTACTGTTCTGTTAAGTTGCCAACGTGTTAACCAGCGTTCTAGACGGTTTAAACCAACCTCGCATTGCTTAGTACCAGAAGTGGATGGAAACGAAAAAACGCTATTTAAATTAATATATGTACGTTTATATTTTATCTACATACATTAAAATTGAATTTAGTATATCGATAACGATTAATGAAATAGTTAAATATGTAAACAATGACCGCACAATTAATCATTGTCAATAGGCATTTAATTGAACAGAACAAACAGTATTAAAATATGACATATGTCATTATCAAAAGGTCACACAACGAAGGTAAACCAACAAATTCTTTATGTTATCGTCTATGCTTCTTCTAGATATTACACTTATTGCATTGGCGTATTAAAATAATCTCATGGAGTTCTTCGTAATATGAATAATTTAAAAATCGGTTGGCAATATTTTCGTTTCGTATTTATTTGGACGTTGTAAAGCCTATGATGGATTTGCTTGAAGTGTATTCTAATTAGGTGCAGACACACTTTCGTGTCTGTTTTTATTTAGCGAATGACAAACTTCTGTGAGGGTATGAAATTTATCATATCATGGTCTTTTTATTTATCTATAGGAACATATATTTTTTTATATAATTTTGTCTATAGTGCTTACACAGCTAAGGACGACGGCGTCTCCCCTTCCTCGGTCAGAAGGGACCAATATTATTAAGCTAACACTTTGTTTGTCTGTTGTTTTGCGTGCGTTGCGAAAACGAATCAAGATACCCGCAAAATATGTATGAAATTACGATTCCTCTTTAAATAATATAAAAAAAATATCCACAACCGTATATCTTAAATCGAATATCTATTAAGATCAATTTGCAAGAAAGACAATGTGCGACCAACGTCGTGGGTAACATTTAAAATTTATATAGATGACGTTTAGATAAACAGATTTGGATGACCAAAATAACGCTTAGAATACAGCTGAAAGGCTAGAAAGAGTGAGAACAGGAAAGTAGGTACACATGTGATTGTAGATGGATAATACTTTTGAGGTAGGGTGTAGGTATCTCGTATGCACTAATACGAGATACCTACAATGTTTCACGCCTAAAATACCTAATTATAGACGGCTTGCTGTGAGGCTGTTACATAACACGTGACACGGTAATGAGTTCACGTGACCCGGCTTCCACGAGCCAATAATTTCCGGATCCCGACGAACGCGTTTCCAATTTCAGACATCAGTAAACACTTTCGCTTGTTTTTCTGAATGTTAAATGATAACCCGACGAGGCATGAAGCTAATTTTGAAACACATCTGCTCCTGAAATACACTTGAACTCATGCGGAGTTAGAATTTATTTTTTGGTTGAGAGGATCTTGATGATTTCGAATAACAATTCAAGATGAAGGCCGCTTGAGGCAGAGTAGCCACTGCAATTTTATGATTTGAGTTATTTATATTTTTATAGGCTAACAATGTTAATTTACAAGAGCAAAGTGAACGTCAATTGTTAGCATAATTTCAAATAATAGTACAAATAAATTTTCGCCTAAGTTAATTGCGCATTTTTATTTTCCTCCTTATTGATAATCATGTTTTTTGTTATTAGGCCACTTTGCTTTTAGCAGCTCATATAAGAATAAATAAATAACTTTAACGCGAAATAGATGTAAATTTATTACTTCAATACAATAAGTTCAACTATTCTAATTCGTTTTAAACCGTTAAAGTGTTTAAAATATGTTATGTGTGTGTTAAATATATATTATTTTCAAAGCTTCTAAGGTAAAGAGAGTTGTACAATTTACGCATTCTTAAGTACAGAAATATATAAGCTTAACTTCAATTAGTAAACTTAACTAACACTTAGCTTAAGTTCTCCTTCAACATGTTTATTATTGGCATATAGACAATTACGAAAACATATACTTTACAACTAAAGGCTTATTGTTTTATGTTATTCATTTTTCAGTTCCTATATTATTGTATTAAACGAAATGACCAATATTACACCAATGTAAAAAAAAAACAATGTCATTATCATGTAATTTAAAAATCGAAAATAAATTGAAAAAAAATTCGACTCGCACAGGATTTGAAACGTCATCGTCAGCGTTCCGTGCTCTTGCTCTAACAATTGAGCTACCGAGTCCTACACCTCGTCGTCGATTTTTTTCAACTTATTAATACATGTACCTCTCGCGCAATGTAATTTCAACCTTAACACTTGCGTATTAAACATTATCATGTATCCATGTATAACTAACTACCAGGCAAAATTAAAAAAGTACTAAAAGCAAAAAAAGTTCGTTAACTTTTGGTGCAGAACACATCGCAAAAACGTATATTCACAACAGTGTCTCTCGCTGTTAATATTTTTAAATAAGATTTAACATGATGCGGCTGGAACTCTTTCTTCTTACTGTGAATTATATTCCATTTGTTAAATTTTACGTGAAATATATAATTAGCATTTTATCTTATTTTTCTTATAATCATAGGAGGACAGATGGTAAGTGATATACCACAGTCTACACCATCTAACCACGCTGTGGACCTATTTTGGCTTGGGATATTCGAAAAACCACAGACTGAAACCAGATTAAGCTTTTTCATCTGTGGACGGTGGTTAGTGACCCGGACGGAATTTTTATATTCCTAGTAGCCATTTAATATCCAGATTTCCAGAAGTCCAACATATGGGAATTGGCAACATATGGGATCCGGTGGGGATCGAACCCACAACGACGATCATTAGCCATACATAGCTACCATTTGACCAAAGAGCCGTCAAAAATTCATTCTGATCTATCTTGAGACAGAAGAGGATAAATCAGCAGTTCTCAGTGGTAATCATGGTAATTATTGATATTTCTTTATTATATTTTCGCAAGATTTGAAACCTTCCTTGCTTAACACAATACACTTTTAAATAGAATACTCTAACGGTTTAAAACGCGAAATATATTAGTTTAACCGTCGCCACGTGGCCGTGGCTGCTGTGAAGCATTCCAAACTTCGAGCTTTAATAAAAAATATTTTATTATTTACTAATATATTTTGAATTTTAAATCGTTAAAGTGTTTTATTTAAATGTGTACTTCTCGCTTAACTACAGACAATGCGCTTTACTACTTA